TACATAATGTAAATGAAAACAACTACAGTAAAGTTGGCTCCATCGGTATGAGTATGTATATAAAATACTGAATCGACTTGAATAATAACAATCGCGATGTACTCCAGTTAATAACAAATAATAACAAATAACCTTGCCGATAATCAGATGAGCTTGGGTGCAGCTCGGAGATGAGATTTGATTGAGAAAAAAAAAAAAAAAAAAAAAAAGAGAGATTCTGATACATTACTTCCTACGTCGGTTTATTCACGTGTACTACCCATATCTGTCAAAGAATAGTGGCCAGTCGCTTAATTATATACGGCGGCGTCCCATAAATCGTTCCATTGTACCTACTATACTTGTTTACCCAGAAGTTCATCTGTGCTCGCTGGCCAATAGATTTTCCTATTGCTACTCTGCTTACTACTCCGCTGCTGACGCTTCTTCACCTTTCGTTCTCAAACTTGTGTTGAACTGATACTTATTACAATGCATAACATCGTTTGGGCGTAAACGAGAAGAAGAGGATGAAATAAAAATGCGCCTCGTGCATTCGTTGGAGTTGTCGTGTATGAATATACCTAAACATACGGCCGCGTGGAAAAAGAAGCCCTTTTTTACGTCGCAAAGCCCAATCGTCCCCTTCTTTTTTTCTCGTACGGTTCATCCCTGGAGATAAGAGTGTGCGTGTGATATGCATGTGTATGTTTTATGTGAACCAGGGAAAACGAGTAGGTCGGTTAGCCGCTAAAGGACGAATCCCATGAGTATGGGTATGCAGTGACGCGCGCGGGGAGAAAGATAAATTCGTTCGAGTCAATTAAAAAATGAGAGATGCCACTTTCCATTAGCCATAGGGAGGGAGGGAGAGGAGCCGTTGTCCGTTCGCCCTCGAGAAGATCGGAGTCGAGCAGCTGCACGCACGAGCCTCTCGTGTTATTCGTCTTTGACTTTGCTGGTGGTAGGATAAAGAAGGAAAAAAAACAAAAAAAGAAAAAAAAAAAGCGAAGCTGCAAAAACTGTTGGAACGGTGAAAAACAATGTCCAACGAATGAGTTGAAGAAAAAGAGAAAGCGAGGGAGTTGATATGAGCTCATTGAAACTTAAAAGAGCGTAAAAATGAACGTGTGCGAGTATCTCTGCCTCTGTTACACTCAAATGAATTGTACAAGTACGCAACGCGAGTAAATCTATACCGCAGCCTATGTTTATTGTACAGGCAAGCGGTGTCTTAATTATATGCGTGATGATAATATGCGTATTTTTCGAGTATTTTTATAGAAAGGTATACGCGTTGCACGATAAATTATAAAAAAGCGCAGATAAAAAGCCAGTCCATATGCATGCGTGGTAAATAGGTACGCATGAAGCTAACGGCCGACATCAGCAATAGTCATCGGGTGGCCGTGACTGTGGCCCTGCGTCCATGGAACGTATCTATTTTAACAATCGTCGTCGGTTAACGACTACAGTACCTACTTAAACGTATTATTTCACGCAATACATACGTACGTACCCTATATAATTTTATGATGCTAAGACAGCCACTTATAACCGTTTTATGAATACACATTGATTCAAATTATTTCTTGGTTTTTTTTTTTTTTTTTTTTTTTTTTTGTACTGTAAAATAAATATTATCGTCCTTTTATCAATATATCTAATTGTAAGTCACTTGCGGAGATACAGTCATTTAGAGTTTAAAAAAAATTGATCCAAGACTATATAGAGGGTGTGCTTTCTATGTACATGTTTTCAAAGTGGCTTTATTTACCCTGCGGATATTTAAAAAGTATTGTTAATTTTACACAGTTTTTACTTTTGCCAACCTAATTCTTACCGTTATGCACAGTAATATTTTTACTGTATAAACTGTAGAAATCTTTGTACTTGAGATGAAAATTACTGTTCTAAGCATTAAAAAACAATCTCTTGACGATCGAAAAGTACCAGATAAAATTCTGACTCTGTAATTTTTATTACTTTTTTTCTCTGAGTGTAACATTATTATTAATATCATTTCTATAGCATTTTTATTTACCGTACTCAGTATCTAAACCAAAGCATGAAACAAATTATTACGCATACAACGCATTTTACATTGGTACAAAATGTATTATGGTATTATACGTACACGTGTTAGAAAAAAGGCAGTGTTATGACGTGAGTAGCAAATAGTTGGTCGTACGGTGCATGGACCCTATTACGTACGATTACCGCAAGAGCCCTAATGTGAGCCGTGTAGTTCATCGTCATTACATCCCGTCGATCACTCGGCAATTTTCGTTTTAACGCGAAATGTGAAGAGTCTTGATACAAAATGCAGCAGTGCAGTGCCTGAGAATATTACATAACCAGTGTGTTTAGGCGTACAGATATGTGCTAATCCTAAGGCCTTCTACATGCAGGTATAATGTACTTGGGTGAATCAGACCGAGAAACAAAGTAACAAAAATTTACTCTTACAAAGTAATAAAAATTAGCTCTTCCTCACTACAAGTATTTTTTTCACAATTATCATTGTATGGGGTTCTGTATGTGATGTATACACTTTAAGGTCATGTACAAGTTCTGAGTACAGCCAAAGTAAACTTGGATTTTTTTTTTTTACTTTCGGTATCTGGCGAAATGTTTAAAAGCTTGGTATGCACTACCGTGTAGTGAAAAAGTGTATACAATTCGAAAAATACGTATACTTACTTTTCAAAGTGTATTTCAAATTTTGTCAATATTTTGTTAAATAACTATTGAGATTCAAGATAAACGTTTAGATGTAATTTTTTTTTTTTTCTTCATTATTATATACCAAACTACCAGTGTGTATTATTTATTTAATTATTCCACTGGAAATAGAAAAAAAGACGTGTCTAGTCGCTAAAAATCAGATCAAATCAAATATACGAGCCGTGAACAGGAGTTGTGCGTAGTATTTTTTTTAGTGATTTCCCCGTTATGGAAAAATTCGACTTTTCACGCGGAAGAGAATTTTGTACTTTCAACCCTTTGAATCAGGGAAAATAACTCCAGGTATGGATGTACGAATGAAAAAGTATTTTCCAAGCAAGATTGGTACCCTAAAATGTGGCATTCGCGTAAGACAAAAACTGGTAAAAATTGTATTGACATCCGACCAGCTTATTGTCTAACCAAAATTCTACCATTGTATTTATGTGGTACCTATTGAGCTTTTTTTATCTGACTACAGTGCAGCGAAATTGAGAAAACTTGCCATTCCTGGTTGGATGTATAAGACCATTCCGTAGTATATAAAAAGCGGACCGTGCGGGGTCAACATCAGTGAATTGGAGCCAGGGAGATGAACTTATTAGTTGAATGAAGGGAGGAAAGACTTTTTAATTGAGTGAGTCGTTTGTGTTAAAAGGTTGTACACGAACGCGTGCACCGTTATGGGCATCATGATGGTGCCAGGATGCTGGTATACGCGTATATACGTGTATGTTATAATATGTGGGTGTTTGCGTATACATAGATGTGGCGCATGTGGGGAGGAGCACAGGGGGCATGCTTGGTACATAGGTATATATAGTTTTATATGGACTGGGCCCGTATACCTACTGCTCGAACGCCCGTGTATTGTACGCATATGATACTTTTGGCGTTGGTGGTTGGTGCTCCCGTTCCAAGCTTCCCTCCGCGCGCGCGGACATCGCTCTAGCAACCAAACGACCGGCCACACGCGGCATAGGACACCCATTATAGCACTCCACAGAGCGCACGCCAGTTTTCCGCGCGGCTCCGTACTGGCCGGATCGCTGAAGCCGGGCACGACGTTATTCGCGCGCCAGAGCTTTTTGCCTCGTTTGTTGCACTTGCATGGCCTCTACGTACATGTTTATAAAGTGTAAATACCCATATTATATATATATATATTATATCATGTACACCGTACCTTCATACCAAAACTGAATATTATTTCTCCTCAATGGCTGATGTTACACTTGTTCTTCTCATTTCCGGTAATTTTTGCATTATTAAGTAAGTTGTTTTTTTTTTTTTTTTTTTTTTTTTTTTTATCAATTTACTTTTCGTAGTTCAACTACGTCGCCATTGCACCCCTTTGTTTCCTTCAACTCATACTCTTGATTTTTTTTTTTTTTCTTTTTTCTTGTTTCTCGTGACGAATGTTTTTAGCTCGCAAGTTCAATCGTACGCTTTACAGTTTTGGAATTAAAATAGCTACCACCTCTGTCTATGCGATAGGCGTGCGTGGTAATAAGGTACGTCGTTGTTGGCTTGAATTAATTAGAAAATAACTAATTAGGACAGATTATTTCTAGACTTACGAATTGAAATATTGACAATCGTATACGATGAGTTGGAGAGAAAAAAAAAATTTAACCGTACCAACAAATATGTTTCTACTGTGCGCCCGACGCTCGGGGTTACATCGACTTGTACGGATAAGTGAAGACGAGTCGCCGAAAAGATGACTCGAATTCTTTTCTCTGGGGATCACTTGCTGGTTCCACTTTTTATTCCTGACATGCTTAGTTATGCCTCTAGTGACCCGATAACCTTACCAGTAAAGTTTCACGGTGACATGGTTAACCGTTTACGATGTCGCGTCGCGCCCGTATAAATATCACTTGAATTTCCCGCGTCAAGTGTCAGGAGACGACGACGCCGACAATTTGAATTTCTCCCGGCAAAGTTGTCGCTGTATGTTATATTTGACTTGGCGGTACGTCTTATCAACGTTTTTATTATAACAATCGTGTAGGGGCATGTCGTACCTATCCAATGTGGTAGCCCAATTTAATTTGATTGATGGATTGACACCCGCAATTCACATCACTGCGTATAAATATATACCTCCTCTTTGCTCGCTCCGTCACTACAAACCTATACCGGCAAAGGTGAAATTTCATATATTTACTCATCATCTACCTACCTTCCATATCACCACCCACACGCAGATGCAGTATAAATATAGGCGCACCAACCACTTGTACACGCATTCTCTGAAACTTATCGCCGTCCGTGTTTGATCTTCTCAGAATAAGAAATCGCCGCGGCAGCAGCATCGGTATTGGTCGACGGCAGAAGGCGAGCTCGATCCCTCGACGGCAACGGCGGACAAGAGAAACGGAGATCCACAACAAGTCCATGAGAACAAGGGCCGAATACTCAAAAAGGCCATGACCCTCTGTCAGACTCGAGTACCCTGTTTATTCTCTTTAAACGTTATAATCGCCATTATAGGTAAGAAAACTCAAAATCAGTTTCTCTTTCTCTCTCTCTCTCTTTTTTAAGTAAAATCTTCAGCTTCAAAGAGCTGTGCTATGTTATTGCACTTGACGTGCTAAATCTTGAGTTGATTTAATATTATTTATTTCTTTTTTTTTTGCGTAAATTGGACGAANTTTTTTTTTTTCCCTGACACATTGATGGATCGTTATGCCACACATACCACAGTCGACAGAAAAACACACACACCTTGTCCAAACGTGTTTTGTACGACGCTTTTAAACGATACTATTATCCTTCATCGAATTAAAAAATATCTGGTGGTAGAAAATTTATTTTAGTATTTTACAATATTTATGTGTCGCCTAACTTTAAAAGCAGTAGGAGGAACGAGAAGTGTTTGAAAATAGCCGAGAAATTTTATCAAAAATGTCATGTATTATAATCCGATCATGAAATGTGGTCTGAGGATTCATTACCGAGTACCTATTTGTACAATTATTTTAAGTATTGCGAACAGTCATTTTAATCGCCAGTGTATGATGATTTTTACAGTTCAAACATTACGACTTTCTTAGACTACATTTTATGATATTATCATACATTTTTTTTACATGATCTCAATATGTTATGTCGCCCAGACAAAGCCTACAATTGTTATTATTTTTCTTTGTCATGGAAATTTTATAACAAAACCCGTTTTTGTAAATTTTACGGGTATTTATTTTCAAAAGTCGTTCAATTGATAACAATTTGGTAAAAAAAACTAAGCTTATACCTTATTTAACTCATGATATAGCTATTATTTTTTGACTCAAAAAGTGTTATTCGTTTAAAAAAGATCGTTAGTACATTTTTTAAATAGTATGAAAAAATCGGAAAAAACATCATACGGGCTTTTAGGGGTAATTCTAATTTTTCTGAATAATTTGGCTCTAAAAAATAAAAGATAAGTACAGTAGATACACGATAAACTTTAATGTAACTTTTTTCAAAATGATATCACATATGATTTTTTTATGAAATTACTCAGAACAAAGAATATGGGCCACTTCATATTTTAGATAACTACATGTATGCGATTATTACAAAAAAGACTGAAGTCTGACAAATAATTATTACTATTATAATGTAATTTCGTAAATACGACGTATGAAGAGTGCCGGCGTGGCGTAAAAAAATTTCGCCTTATCTTTAATTGCGACTCAAGTGTTAAAAAAATTATACACATCAATTACATTCAAATTAGCGTAAACAAGCAAAGTTGAAATATTTAAATAAGAAAAGCGACAGCTTGATATTAGCATCATTAAATAAGTCATTTGTGAAACAGGCGCAAACGAATTATTGGAGTAAGGAGATATATAATGTTTTACCTTGATACAATTATATTTACAGACCAATTAAACAGAGTCGTTTATTTGTGATGATAAGAAAGTTGAAGTGAAAAAATAATTGAAAGAACGTTAGTAAAAATATTTAGGAAGTTGAAGATTTGAATTAAAAACCACTCGTGTGTTAACAGTAACATGATATTTACACTTACGTATACGCCAATGATTCGGCAATTCCAAGAGATCATCGTGCACCTAGTTGCGGCAAAGCTATACTAACCTTGGGAGATGTTTTATTTACAATTACTTTTTCATTGCACTGTGAAAAATTACATTCCTAACCATCATCATGTGCTTGCCCAGTTTAATGTTCATTTTGCGGTTGCTAAATGATATTACTGTGCGTTTCTCAGCGCACATTCGGAAACTTGATATTCTCCCATCGCCGTCCCGTTTATATGGTAACACAAGCGCGCGCGACATGAAGCAACAATAAACAAGCCAATACCTAGATTCGCTATTACAACGAATTTCAAAGTAAGTAAGTACCGTAAGTTTCGAAAAAAATTTTCAACTGTTGGAGGTTTCAAACGGTCAACATTAGAACTACGTGACCCAAGTATGGCCACCCATGTACCTATACTAGCTGTTTTGCACCTGGACGCGTGTGTAAATGTATAACGCGCATGTAGCGCTATTACAGCCAATTGGTAAATTCAATGTTTATTCGTGTAAACACATACACGTATGGATCAATCTGAAATTCGTAAGTTGTGAGTACTCTGCCGACGAACGGGCAAACCCACCGACTGACCGATTGACCGGTATTCTACGTGTATATGTGTGTATTTTATGTAATAAGGTTTACATACTATTGCGTAAAAACTCGTTTTTCCAAGACGGATCGACAAGTGAAACGAGTTTCTTATGGTGTAGTCAATTTGAACTTTACGTAATGTCTCGTGGCTGAAGGATTTTCGGGTCAGATGAACGAAAACATCGTAAATTTTACCGCGCAAGGTGCCAAAGATGCGGATAATCGACTTTTCCTTTTTTTCCTCTCAAACGTCGTACGTGTCTTTAGTTATGTTTAAAATAACAAGCAAATGCTTGCCTTTGGTCAACTTTTTTTTTTTTTTTTTTTTTTTTTTTTTTTTTTGTCAACTTTTTTTTTTTTTTTTTTTTTTTTTTTTTTTTTTTTCAACGATGCTTCTCACCTGCGTGCCTTCGCTTATAAAATATTGTCTTTAAACTTTCTTCCTAACTCTTTCCCTCCGCGTAAGTTTCGTATAGTTATTCGCGCGCAACAATAATTGGAATACCAATTGGTCTGTTTTAAAGTGAAAGTGCAACGAAAGGCCAGCACCAGCTTATGGGCGCGAGCTTTCGAATGAATTCCCAAACTCTTTGGAAAAATCACGAAAAAGCCAATAAACATCTGTTGAGCACAAAAAAAGACAACAAATAAAGTACCTATTGCCTCTTCTTCAGTAAACACGCATGGCAAACTTATACTAACGAGTTGAGAAATATTTTTTCGTCCCATCAATAGTAAAAACAACGTAATAACTTGTACTTATTTTGCTGATTGCAGTGCTACTGATGATATGTTTGACCGAGCTTGGAGTCATTCCGAGCCAGCAGGTCGGCTTTTTCTGCAATGATCCAAAAATTTCGCACAAATTCCGAGGCGAAACGATATCGGCTTTTACCGTCGTGTCTGTTACAATACTGGTGCCCGGGATAGTGGTAAGTTTAGCACGAATAACATTTTTTTTTTTTTTTTCATTTTGTCGGGACATGCACACCATGAAATGTGATCATACGATTGTACACGTATACTTGGTAAGACGATTGAAGCGAACAATAACGATTTTCCGAAACAGATGTGGCTGACGGAATGCTTGTGCTACAGTCCTGAGAGCTACAAGTGCCTGGAGCGCGCGTTAAGCTCGAGGAGCCGTCAATTTTGGATGTGGTACGGCTACTACACGATCGGCTGGTGTTACGTGATCTTCGTGGTCGAGGTGATGAAGGTGACAGTCAGCGAACCCAGACCTCATTTTATCGACAGCTGCAAACCCATGAACATTGATAATTGCACCACCTCTGAGTCAGTATTACTATTCAATAAATACATACATATTACCTTTTCTATACTTCTATACCTGCATGCTCCTCGTAATACGTTGATATTATTATCACTACCTATTGATTTAGATGTACCTGTAGATTAGGCGAAAAATAATGCTTTCTGTTTTCCTCTCTCTATGATTTTTTTTTTTTTTTTTTTTTTTCAGATTTATATCGTCGTACACGTGCAACAACACCAAACTCTCTTCCTTGGCTGTGAAAGACTCCGACCGGTCATTTCCATCTGGACATTCTGCAGCCTCACTGTTTATGACTACGTATTTGGTGGTGAGTATTGAGTACTTATACCTGGTTTTACTTCATTTTATTGCTATTATTTTTTATTTTTTTATTTTACTTTTTTTTTTAATTCCAAAGTTTTCACGGGCATGTTTCATTTTACCCAAAAGTCCTTTCATGGAATGGTAGTTTTCCTACGAGTTTGAAAAGTCTCTGTTTGCGAACCGAGAGGTAACGAGGTTCGTAAAGGAGACTTTTCGAACGAGTTCCGGAAAACTGCTTTTTCGCCCGAGGAAGTACCAGCCTCCCAAAACCACCCGAGGGCGGAAAATCTTATTTTTTCTATCTCTACTTTTTTTCACCATATTTTTTTTTTTTTACAACAATAATAGCGCAAAGTGTAAGAAATAAAATTGCTACATTATTTCTCAAAGTATGNATAATTGAAAAAAAAAAAAAAAAAAAAACTTTTGAAATTGCCTATAAAGAGAAAAAAGCAAAGAAAATGTAAGAGTGAGGAGGAGGGAAAGTGCATGAGTAAGAGAGCTGACTACCTGCTATCCCTCCGCCACCTCTTATTTCCATATTCCCATATTCGAAATACTAAAGCGTGCATATATTACATTCGTAAGGTCTATATTCTACGCGCGAACCTAAAGCAACTTTATTTACTTGGTAAGCTCGTACTTACCACTCCTATACTCCCTACACAATGCCTACCAAGTTATCCACGTATAGATACTACCTCACACCTTTATCTTCCATCCCCTGCCCACACTGCGCTACTTGTTTATACCAAATAATAAAAAAAAAAAAATAATAATAATAAAATAATAATAATAATCCGTGACTTCTGGATCCAACCATCCACAGTGGTACCTACAGAGTCGGTTGCCGGAGCGCATGACGCTGATACTGCTGAAGCCGTGGCTGCAGTGCCTCGTCGTGATCTGGGGTCTGAGCTGCTCGATGTCCCGCATAACCGACCACCGACACCACTGGTGGGACGTCCTCATTGGAGCTACCCTCGGCATCGTCTTTGCCTACTTCGTCGTGCGGCTGCCCTGTCGGAGCTTCCGTTCGGGTGCTACTTTATTCGGTCCCTCGGCCACTACAGCGGACGGCTCGTTGTCGATCTGCGCCCTCGAAGGACTGCAACCCGGCCCAACGGCAAGCATGACGGGAGCTGGCTTCGCGGTGCCCAACAACAACAACAATAACAACAACAACAACAACAACAACAACCATAATTACTACAACAGGCGTAATCTGAGCGCTAAAAAGCTCCTCAGCCAAAGTGATTCCGAGGTACCCGAGGACCGCGAACTCGGCAACATGCCCCCTGCAACCGAAAATTGGAACTCGTAGAGTTTCCCTTTCGTTTTTCATTGTTATTGTTGCTCTTCTTGTTGTGCCTTTGTATTTTACCCTATACATAGTATATACAGGTATTTCGCGATACTTAATGATGATGCCTTATTCGTTATTGTGAAAAAACAATGTGACGGAGAGTGTCTCAAGAGAGTGTATATAATTAACTGTCGACAATTTTAACAAAATAGCGAAATCTAATTATGACAGTAATAATAATAATAACAATAACGATGAAAAAAAAAAAAAAAAAAAAAAAAAAAAAAAAAAAAAGAGAGATTCTCTCCAACATCGCGAGGAAACCGAAATCAAACGAACGTAAAATTTCGTCCCGTAAANAATTTAAAAAATGTCATGTTATTTGTAGATCTCAAGATTTTTGCTATGGTTCTTCATCGTAGCTGCTTTTCAATTTAAATCTCTACATTGTAAAACAGTGTAGGGAGCATTTCAATTTTTTTTTGTTCTTATCATTTGAGTATGTATTATTTATTCGTTAATATTTACCTGAATATTTAATCCAGATTATGGTGCATATGAGGATTATATATAAGTGATAACATAATAATGCAAGCTTAAGAGCTTCAGATTTTTTGAAATTTTTTATCGAGTAAATTTGTTTCGTGTATCGGTCTAGCTCCTTCGTTCTATATTTCATTCACTTATTAATTGGATTAGCTAGCTAAATGATGTAACACTACATAAAACTTTATTTAGAGTGTTTTAAAAAGGTTTTTATTATAATTAGCTAATGTCGTTTTTCTGTACTATATGTAATTTCGTAAACTTAAGTAAAATGAAAACAAGTCAAAGTTTAAAAATAAATATTTAATGCCGTAAATTATTTTTTTAAAAGATATAATAGTATATTTTCTGAAAATTTATTACGTAAGTTTTTGTATTTAAAGTATACTCCCACGCGTGTAAAAGATTGTGTTATTTTAAATAAGGGTTCATGAATCCAAAACTATTTGTACAGTATTTCCTTAAATGCGTAAGGGAAACATGAAGATGAACCAAAGTAAATAAATTTGAAGATTTTGTTATATTTTTCTCATACATCGACGCTAATATCTATAGTACATATCAATTTTGTTATCGTTTATATAAGGATTTAACTGCGATTCGTTTGTTACTAGTACTTTGTACTTTCATATTCTCGGAACAGACGTACAAAACTAATTGCGTATAGTACAATTGTTGGACTTTTTGTTATAACTATCTTTAAAATATATTAAATAAAAAAATCGTAGTCTGCAAAGTTAAAAAGTATTCAATAAGTTTATTATAAAAAAGGCATTACGCCATTGAAAGTAGTTTTATCGTAAAATGTGATCTATTAGAAGATAAGATCATTTAATGTAAAAGTTTATTAATAGGTTTTGAAAATCGTTAATTTTACCGATAGCCAATACACGTATAATTAAGTTGTCAAACTATTGAAAAGTGCACTTATAAAATAAAATCTGTGAAAGATAGCATAGCTAAAAATTTTTGCATGTATGCATTACAATTTTCTGTGCAACTGTTTAAGCAAATAAATCAATGAATAAAAAGTCGTATTTGCAGTAATGATCATTTCGAGTGTATATCTGTAAAAAAGAAAGCAATCGTCGTTGACAATAAAGACACTGTACGTAATGGGAAAAAGGCAGACACATCGAAAAGAGGTGGAAAAATTTTTTTTTTTTTTTTAAATAAACAGACACAAAAAAGGCAAAGGTGCAAAGCACTCCATGCAGCACGTACTTTTTGGGGTAAGAAAAATCTGCTCGTGTTATGGGTTACTGCCATCTATGTATTTTGTATTTATACCTATAATAGGTGGAAATGGCATATACCCTAGTCGTACAGTGTAAAAAAAGCATATCATACTGAGAGAGTGAGCACGAAAAATTAAAAAAAAAGAAACTGATGAGCGAGTCGCAGACGAAAAAAAAAGTACTTAGAAATGTACGCTCCCGAGGATTCGGGGATGCAGAAAGGTAAAGAAAAGGGCGAGCAAGAGGGAGCGGGCAAAAGAGGGTTGTGAAAAAAAAGAATGGACGTAGGATTTGACGTTGCACGCGCCCTCGGCCCTCGTGTGCTATATGTATGTACACATATAATACATACTCGTAGGGTTTGTGAGGTATATATATGTGTCGAGTAGGTGAGGGGCACAGAGAGCATATTATAGGGGGGAGAAGCATTGCTTGCTATACCTACACATGGCGGCTGTAAGTATACACACACACACACATACAACCTCTGCACGACCAGCGCCTCCAGGACACAGTCCAGGAGTCGGCGCGACGGTAGAGACAGGAAGAGTTATGGTTGTATAGATTGCAGGTTGCACTACTGATGCATGGTATTTATATGGGACGATGTTTACTACCACCACTATTTGCAGTCTTCGTCGCGGTGGTGGTGGTGGTGTAGGGGTGAGAAAGAGGTGGGCGGAGGGAGAGAGAAAAAAGAGAGACAAACGGCCCGCGCGAGCCGAGCAAAAACACTCTCTCTCCCCCCCGCCCCGGACCCCCTCAAAATGTAAACGTAACGCGTAATGTAGTGTGGGTGTTGTCCATGTGAGAATTATACTGCGGCTGGTGCTTGGCTGCTGTAGGGTTGCGTCGGACGGAAGGGATAGGAGAAAGAACGAGGGTCGGGTGGTGTACTGGTATAGCTGCATGTTTAGGGGGAGGACGACGGGAGCGGCGCTCGTGCCACCCCCCCCCCCCCCGCCCGGCGCCGGTGGCTTAATAACGCTGCATCCCCTTTACTCCCACTGTACGAGGGGCGGGGAGTACTATATAGGGAGGGAGCGAGGAGCCATGCATGCAAGGGATCTCACGGTGTACACATCCCCTTTAATTCGGCAGATACACATAATACATACGTACCCACCGTATGGATACAGGTACATTTATATACGTATAGGCGGCACCTTTTACAATTTACAATGCGATGTACACGCGCAGTCACCAGAAAATCAACTGTCCGTCTTGTTTCGCATCGGGACAGCTCGCATCCTCCGCCCGGACGAATGAATGAATACTCCCAAGTACGATCGGTAAAGTTTTTTCTCTTTTGTCTTTGCGCATAATAACATGTACGGGGGCTCATAGTCCCAAGCCGGTGTACAATTATTTTTGGACGAGGCGAATCGGCTGATGAGGTATGGGTGACCATTGCAGTGCTGATGATGCAGGAAGGAACGCGCCCTAGGCGGGACGGATTAAAGAGACCGGGGAGGGCGGATAGTATATCCGATCGAAATACCGGGTAAGTAAGGAGGTATGCTTACTCGACGAGGAGGAGTAACACGCTAAGTACATGATGATATGTATTGAGTAAATTGTGGAGACTCTCGTGTGCACACAGGCAAAAAGAGGTGAGTGTGTATAGGGCAGCGTTGTGTAATGTGCGATTGGAGAGACAGTTGTTCCTTCTGCTGGGGATAATTCTTATACGATTTCTCGCCTTACTTATACGCCATATTTATAAGGGCAAAACGTTTTTTTTAATGAAATTACATCAAATGTCCATCTCCGGCACTGAAATACAATGCAATGTTTTTGGTCAACAAAAAATGGACACATCCAGCGAATAATGGTAGGTTTTTTTTTTGCCAATTTGACGTTTACCAACATTCGAGTGCCATTACCACGGAAGATCGTTCAGAGATTGAAAAAATTGTATTGCATGTAAAGAAAGTAATTCCGTGTGACTGTGGATGAATAAATGATTGCTGTAAGTACAATATAGTGCGAATGAAGCGAATCACAAAAACAACATCCCAAAAAGCTACAGCTAATCGAGAAAGTCGGAGAAAAAGGCCGTGCATCTCAATAGTGGAAGAAAGGGAGAGACTGAAAAACAAAAAACAAAAAAAAACCATGATTCAGGAGTGACCCGGAGATGAAGTAAAGTTGTTGGAGCGAATTATTAAGAGATGAGCGTGCAGGATAATTTATATACAGAGAGTATACGTAGGTAAGTATGGAGATGCATACATATTCCATATAACAGCGGAAAACTCCAGAGTTGATATATACCTACCTACTGTCCAAGTGCGAGTACCAATATATGCATGTGTACGTATGATATATATATGTATGTACGGCTCTGATAACGTGAAGCAAGACAGTGTAGAGCCACGATATCACTCGAGCGCCCGCACCCTTCTCCATACATACACAGTACAACATACATGCAATGTGCTCTATGCTGTTGCGCGCACGGCGCATACGTAAGTTACGTGTGTGTTTGTGTAAATACGCACGTACGCGCGTGTATCTTAGATGTGTATATATTTATATAACTGCTGGCAGTGCTGGCGACGGTAGCGAGAGTTATAGTGACCTACATTAGCTGTTACAATGTGTGTAAATATGAGGGGATGTATGCGTATAACACACGCATATTTCACATTGCATTGCCCGTAATATATATATATATATATATATAGAAAAAAAAAAAAAAAAAATCTTGGTATAAATATGCAGTGGCACGTGAGTGACGTTTTTTCTTCTCTCGATCGTAGTTACTTAGGTATTTCTTTCTCATTCGCAGCGCATTGCATGCATCAGAGGCTCTCCTACCCATATATATACACATCGTAAGTATTATATTATTTTATACTGTCCTGTTAGCTAGATATTGTGTGGATTCCATGCAAGTGGCTATAGAGGCTAGACGACGTATGGAAATAGAGAGAGAGAGAAAGGAATAGGAAAGTAAGTATATAACACACAGCACCGGCACGTCCACCTATACTTATACCTCGGATGTGTACATATACATATATACACAGTTATACACCTCCAGTATCAGATGCATGTATATGGCTTTGGTTTCAACAGGAGCCCATACTTGGCAGTTCTTGAAGGATCTTTTTTTTTTTAGTATTCAGCGAGCGTTCACGCGGTTTTTGCGCATAAGAGCTATAGGATGGGTGTAAGTGAGGGACGAGCGTCAATCTCGACGGAAGCACCAAGATAGGGAGCGTGAAAGAAAGAGGAGGAAAAAAAAATCAGAAATACTGAGAAAAAAAGAGGAAGGTTGAATAATATTGTAGCTGCTATATAATTATAATTCATACGATATTGTACCATGATGGGGTTACGACTTTTTAGTAAATTCAGGTACACACGTGCGTTTGTCCCTGCGACTGTAACTTTACTGTAGTTGCGCGTATTAAATGTCTCTACCAGTGTAACGCAAGGTAATATTGATAAATGGTATTTCTG